TGTTCGAAATTTTCGAGTTATTGTTCGAATTTTTCAATTTTTTTTCGTGAGTAAAAAAAAAATAATTGTCTTACTTACCGTTGGATGAGTTATATTGGGAAGATCTTGAGATGTTGGAGGGTTTGGAAAGAGAACTCACGCCATGGGAGAAAACGTATTTAGATGAGCTTCATGAGTGAAGGAACGTAGAAGAATACGAGCGACAACTCGTAGAAGCCCGAGAAGCAATGGTGGTCGATGTTCAAAACAACGGTGATGATGGTGCGCTGAATTTTCTAATCCTTGAGGACAAGGAAAGTCTCGAAGAGGAGGGGAATGATACGGAAGTGGTCATCAACCCACGCGAGTCAGAGGATGAAGATGGCGACGATCTCAACATATGGTTGGACAACATGCTAGAGGAGCCATCAAGTCCAATATATCGATCTTCTTATGTAAGAGATTGGCCAAAAGGATGTGGTCCAAAGTTGAAGTTGAAGGCTAGAAAACGCAAGAGATGATGAGAGGCAATGGCGAAAAAGGTGAGCCATTGATGTGGGCCTTGTGCGAGGAAGAAGCGAGCTTGGAAGATGGGGGCTCGAAGGAGAGGTAGACAAAGAATGGAAGATGGTTGGATATTGCGAGCTGGAGATTGTATTGGGTTGGAATGTTGGGACCCATGGCCAACGGAGTCGAGCGACAAAAGGGTCGAGGAAGATCGGCTATCGGGCGTATGATACGCATCGTGCCATGATGCACCCGACAAGGTGGATACACGGGTGGCGTCGAGCGTGCACGGGTGCGCGGTTGAGGATTGGAGCGCCGGCGTAGGCGGGATGCGCTGGGAGACCACAGGGCACGATGACGATGGCGAGATGGCTGGCGTGCAAGGCACTCGCGGAAGTGGCAAGGACGCGCAGAAGTTGGGCAGCAGTAGCGGCGAGCGCACATTGGTACGCGAGTGGAGCAGCAGCGCGGGCAATGGCCTAACCCGCATGGGCATAGGTATAACGGGCGACGGCGCGCACGCGCGGGGGAATTTCGGCGATGCGCAAGCGTGCGCAGGAGACGACGCGTGGGGAGCGGGCGCAAGAAGCGTAGTTCGTGCGGGACTAGGCGAGGCAAGGACGGCGCGCACATGCGAAGGAATCGGACAAGTCCTAGGGCAAGAAGGATTAGGCGAGGGGGCATTGCGCGCGAGTGACGGGGACGCACTGGCCAAGGGCAGCGGACAGACGGTGCGCGCGATAGCGCGTGCGTGCAACGTAGGTGCACAAGAAGCCGCGCCCGATGAGGACTAGTCCTCACGGGAGGCGCACATACAAAGGCGGCCGAAGAGAATTGCGAGAGACTTGGAGCTCAAGAATGTTTGGAGTGCAAGTCAAGTCTTTAGTAGTTTTAGTAATATTAGGATTTTATTTCCATGTTGCTTTTAATTATTGATTTAGGAAATTTAGTTTGGCTAGGCTTAGATTTATTTTATGCACCTATAAATACCCCATGTACTCTTCATTATTGAATATGTCATGTGATGAATGAAGTCTAGATTTGATGAGTCAAATAGAGAGGGGAACTTTATGTTCTAACGTGTGTTAAGCAAGGCCATAGTGCGTGTTTACATACAGTGTTGGAGAGAAGGCCATTAGAGCGTCATGAAGTCACAGTGCCTAGGAGAAGGCCGATAGTGCGTCTGTTAGATACACCTATCGTGAGTAAACGAAGTCCTTGAGTGCGCGTTTATTCACAACCCGTATAGACAAAAAATCTGATCCGTCAGCATTGGTGCTTTCATTGAGAGTGTCTGATCGTATTTTTGTCTATTTATCTTTTTCTTTTTTCGGTTTTGCCTTTTGCTGAGGGGGTCGAATTTTTGTTCTTTTTTGTTCGAAATTTTCGAGTTATTGTTCGAATTTTTCAATTTTTTTTCGTGAGTAAAAAAAAAAAATTAATTGTCTTACTTACCGTTGGATGAGCTAGATTGGGAAGATCTTGAGATGTTGGAGGGTTTGGAAAGAGACCTCACGCCATGGGAGAAAACGTATGTAGGTGAGCTTCATGAGCGAAGGAACATAGAAGAATACGAGCGACAACTCGTAGACGCCCGAGAAGCAATGGTGGTCGATGTTCAAAACAACGGTGATGATGGTGAGCTGAATTTTCTAATCCTTGAGGACAAGAAAAGTCTCAAAGAGGAGGAGAATGATATGGAAGTGGTCATCAACCCAGGCGAGTCAGAGGATGAAAATGGCGACGATCTCAACATATGGTTGGACAACATGCTAGAGGAGCCATCAAGTCCAATATATCGACCTTCTTATGTAAGAGATTGGCCAAAAGGATGTGGTCCAAAGTTGAAGTTGAAGGCTAGAAAACGCAAGAGATGATGGGAGGCAAACGCGAAGAAGGTGAGCCATTGTTGTGGGCCTTGTGCGAGGAAGAAGCGAGCTTGGAAGATGGGGGCTCGAAGGTGAGGTAGGCAAAGAATGGAAGATGGTTGGATATGGCGAGCTGGAGATTATATTGGGTTGGAATGTTGGGACCCATGGCAGACGGAGTCGAGCGACAAAGGGGTCGAGGGAGATCGGCTATCGGGCGTATGGTGCGCATCGTGCCATGATGCACCCGACAAGGTGGATACACGGGTGGCGTCGGGCGTACACGGGTGCGCGGTTGAGGATTGGAGCGCCGGCGTAGGCGGGACGCGCTGGGAGACCACGGGGCACGATGACGATGGCGAGATGGCTGGCGTGCGCGACACTCGCGGAAGTGGCGAGGACGCGTGGGAGTTGGGCAGCAGTAGCGGCGAGCGCACATTGGTACGCGAGTGGAGCAGCAGCGCAGGCAATGGCCTAACCCGCATGGGCATAGGTGTAGCGGGCGACGGCGCGCACGCGCGGGGGAATGGCGGCGATGCGCAAGCATGCGCAGGAGACGACGCGTGGGGAGCGGGCGCAAGAAGCCTAGTCCGCGCAGGACTAGGCGAGGCAAAGACGGTGCGCATGCGAAGGAAGCGGACAAGTCCTAGGGCAAGAAGGATTAGGCGAGGGGCATTGCGCGCGAGTGACGGGGACGCACTGGCCAAGGGCAACGGACGGACGATGCACGCGATAGCGCGCGCATGCAACGTAGGCGCACAAGAAGCCGCGCCCGACGAGGACTAGGCCTCGCGGGCGGCGCACGTACAAAGGCGGCCGAAGAGAATTGCGAGAGACTTGGAGCTCAAGAATGTTTGGAGTGCAAGTCAAGTCTTTAGTAGTTTTAGTAATATTAGGATTTTATTTCCATGTTGCTTTTAATTATTGATTTAGGAGATCTAGTTTGGTTAGGCTTAGATTTATTTTATGCACCTATAAATACCCCATGTACTCTTCATTATTGAATATGTCATGTGATGAATGAAGTCTAGATTTGATGAGTCAAATAGAGAGGGGAACTTTATGTTCTAACGTGTGTTAAGCAAGGCCATAGTTCGTGTTTACATACATTGTCGGGGAGAAGGCCATTAGAGCGTCTTCAAGTCACAATGTCTAGGAGAAGGCTAATAGTGCGTCTGTTAGATATACCTATCGTGAGTAAACGAAGGCCCTGAGTGCGCGTTTATTCACAACCCGTATAGACAAAAAATCCGATCCGTCATCATGCCCCAGCGCGCCCTGCAGCGGCCATCCCACCTTTGAGCCCCATTTCCTATGTTTTGGCCCATTTTTCTCCGACTCCAAGACCTTGTGATTATTTTTAGTTGGATTAAGGATGATTTAAGCCTAAGATTGTCTTAATAATGTTTAAGGCACGTTAATTAGCATTGAGCTTAAGTGTGGCATGTGCTAGTGAATATTTTATTAGCATGGTGTAAGGCATTTTGTCCCTAGTGCCTTGGGACTAGTTCAGCCACGTTTTGCAGCAAAGATGCTCTGAAAATGCCCAAGAAAACCGTGCAAGACCAGGCCAAGTCAAGCCAAAACTTCCCCAAACTCCCATGCATATGTGTAGAGCTTTTGTCCCCTTCTTTTGCCTTGTTTTGTCAGCCCATGTGCTCTCCCTATTAAGCCTAATTAATTCAGCTGAAGAATGCCATTTTATCACTTAGAAATTTCGAGCTCATATAGAGGGAATAGAGAGAAAGGCCGAGAGCTCCTTCATGAACGCCTAGTCGAGGAAGAAAAGGGACACCGAGCTACCTCTTGTTCTAACCAAGTTTTGCTGCACCAAGCCAAGTTCATACCATATCTGGGTGTAACGCCCCGTTTATTGGAATATCTGGAATTATTTATTATATGTACTATTGCATATTTATTATTATTATTATTGATTGTCTAAATATTATTAATTGCTTAAATGTCTAATTGTTGTTGTTATTATTATTATTATTATTATTATTATTATTATTATTATTGTTATTATTATTATTAAATGTCTAATTGTTTAAATGCTTATTTATATTATTAAATAATTATTGTGTGTAATATATATATATATATATATTCATACCCGATTTATTTTATTTAATTATTTTGAACGTCGTGCGATTAACCAAGCTTTTATTAAATTGTCGAGCCTTGGAGTAACCGACCCAAACGTTACTCATTTTGTCTAGAATTGATTCTTTTCCCGGCCATGTGTATTGAATTTTCTTTTGGGCCCGGTTTTATGTGCATAATCCAAGCCATTTTTAGAGTTTAGTATAGGCCCTCTTCGACGCTTAAAACTGGCCCAATCTTTTTGTTTTATTTTGGCCCGTAAGATGTAGGATTTTAGACGAGGTCTTCGTTCTCTTCACGCGTATAGACAAAGAAGAAATTTATCGCCGCCTCATCGTCGGCTCGCAAATTGTTCAGACCCTCCAACTCTGAGATTGCCGCAAAACGCAAATCCCTTTCACCGCGAACTTTTCCTCGCCGGCAACTCCTTTTAGCGGCCCCTCCGTGATCGTTTTCTGGTGTCCCCTTCCACGAGCAGCAGAGCATCGGCGAGATGCAGTCCCTCCGGCGTGAACCACCGCTGCACGTCGTCACTTCCGGCAGTCGCGTCACCACCCGCAGGACTCCGTCACAAGTTCGCGCAAAACTCGATCAGACCGATCGTGCGCCCCCATCAACGGCCCTGCTGCTCCGTCGTGTGCCTCCGCGATTGTTAATCGCGACCGAATCCGTGAGCAAGCTTTCCGACGACCACCGCTGCAAGTCTTCACCTCCGGACACCATCGTCCCTGTTCGCTGCTCGTGAAGAGTCCCGCAGTCCGTAGGTCCACCGCCGGCGTGCCGTCAACCTGCCGCCACCACCTTTCGGCATTCCTCCGCGACCAGCAAGCATGAGTTCGGTGAACCAGACCATCATCGCCACCTTGAACGTCTGCTGCAGGCCGCTGCTTCTCCACGCCCCGCGAGCCAAAATTGTCGAGCCCGACGTGCGTACTCCCGGTCTCTGAATATCCTATCTCGGCCTTCATTTCCCGAGAACGGTACCGAGACTCGATACCCCTTTCGTTATTTTTGTGTTATGTAGTAAGTTAGAGTTTGATGATGAGGGTTTATATATATAATGTGTTTAATGTAATAATCATGTAGATATATGTGAGATCGTGCGAGATCTTATTATAAATTCGTGTATGTGTCGTGGATATTGGAACTCCCTCGTTGTGTTATTGAGCCCTCTCCTTTTGTTGTGCTTGCTGCTGATTTCGGTCGAATATTAGAGTCTCGATTTGTTAACCGAGCCGTTTGATATTCGTTTAAGAATTGAGTTTGAAACCCCATTTTGAAACTTTCGCTGATTGCTGTTTGGTAGCTGTTTTGACCCCTGAAACTCGGTTAAATGTTTTCAAACTCGTCTAGTGATTTGTAGTTCAGTCGGTTATGTTTCATCTCCAACAAGAATCGAGTGAATATCAATTTTGTGCTAAAAGTTATGGCCAAAGTTTGTCGGTTGCACCTCCAGTTGTTTTGGTTTTTCGATCCTATATGTGCTCGGTTTTAATGGTTGTTTTTGAGCACTGAAACCTCGACATATCTTTTTGAGGTCTTCTCGTGAAATGTAGTTCACTGCGCTAACATTTCGCAGTCAGTTTTTATCATTTTTATCATTTTTCATGCGTAAAAAGAATCGAGTATTTATCATTTTTATATTGAAAATTGTGTAGAAATTACTAACATTTCGCAGTCAGTTTTTTTGTTTTAATCGCAGAGGTATGAGTCTGTCATTTTTACTATTTTTGGCCTACTTCGGGTGACCTGGGAATCTTGATGTCTTCATATGATTTTTTGTATTATTTCTTAGGTTTCAAATGGCACAAGATTCATTCAAATATCATTTTTATACAAAAAGATACGTTCGAAATACGATTGTCGCGCAACCAGTTTTCTGAAAAAAAAATGACAGCAGGTTTGTTTATAAATTTGAGTTGTTTTCAGCCCTTTAACTTGCTCGAATGTGCTCGATTTCTTCATAAAAGTTTTAGTTCTATGTCTTTAGATTGTTTTGGAAAAAGAACCACTTGGATTCGAGTTTTCTACCAAAAGTTATATTCAAAATAAAATCGCTGCGCATATAGAGTTACCCATTTTCCGGCAACTTGATTTTTTATGTTTCCAATTGTCCGTTTTTTTAGCCGTTCGACATGTTTTTTAGCCGAACAATAATTTTAACCTCGTGACCACTATTTTGAGTATTATTTCTAATCCCCTGAGAGTTCCAGTCCACAAAATTCCACGAATTACTTATTCGATAATGTTCGACTAAGTATGATTTCTCGTAATTATTTCTAAGTGTCAAGGTAGTGTATTTATGAAACTATCTTGATAAAAATGTAGGTGTCTGGCGAGTCGAGCTCTCAACCTACACTGCTTTGCAAGTATTTTTCTGCTAAATTATCCAGGTGGGTTTACTTATAAAATTTCTATGTCGTATATGTGTTTCGTTTATGTTGAGTCGGTATGATCTATGTATGAATGTGAAATATGTAGCCTATCGATGTGAGCTGTTACGGCCGTCGGTACGGTTGTCCCCGTCGATGTAATACGGTCGCCCTTGTGTGGCAAGTCTCCTTAAGTCCTGATATGGTCGTGCCTTTGTGAGGTACGTAAGCCTATATGGAAGGCCGTGTCCGTAGCGTGGCATGTACTCCCGCCTTCGGGTAATGAATCTCCATTCTGCGGCTAGCGATAGATGTGCACAGGAGTAATGTGATTTTGTAGTGATTTGATAGGAGATGAGACATGATTGATTATCTTATATTCATGCTGCGACCATACCATTTTGACATGTTTATATACGTGCATAGTGGTGAGCACTCATTTTCATCTTGTGCTCATCCCCACCTGCTCTTCACGGATGCAGGTTAAGCAGGTGTCGGGTGACGAGGGGAGACGAGTGGGTCGGTCCTTGATTTATGCTTTATGACTATGCTTCTGTCTATGAATAAAAAGTGTGGTCCTTGTGAACCTCTTTTGGTTGAGATGCTTTGAACTGTTTTCAAAAATTATTTTTGGGAATTTTTGGACCAATGTTTGTATATATTCGTATTGGAATTGTTTCTTGAATATCATGTGTTTGATTATGCATGCTATAATGTTTAGCTAATAATCATGTGAAATTGATGTTTTAAGGGTTAATGAAAACCATGTGAACAACCAGATATGAATTGGTTGATGTTAAACGTTTGAATAACGCCCATGTTTTCAAAAACGAGTTCGAAAAATTATTTTACTGATTTTTGGAAAGTCCGAAATTTCTTTAAAATGAAAGTGGGGTGTTACAGTTTGGTATCAGAGCCAGTCTGCGTTTCTGTAGACTGGTTTATATGTGATTATGTGTTTAGACCTTGTAATATGACCACTCGTCTCCGTCACTCCGCGCTGCTTAAGGTATGTTTTATATAAGTTTCAATGAAAATACTTATAATGTGAATTGTGATTTTGCACGTGTAGCAATGAAATTACTTGTGATGTTTTGCACGAGTAGCAATGAAACTACTTGTGATGTTTTACATGAGTAGCAATGAAACTACTTATGAGGTTTTGCATGAGTAGCAATGAGACTACTTATGAAATGATATATATGTTGTTTTGGGGCTTAGGAAATCTATCCACCTCAGGTTATGTGAACTCTAGTGTTTGACATTGAACTCTAGTGATATAGAGTTAAGTTCGGACTCTAGAGATTCCTAGTTGTGAGTTTCAGTACATTATCATTGAGATAAGTGTTGTTTATAGCATTTTCTCGCTATAAGATTCGTTCAATGTCCTTAGAGTAGGACCATTCGTGACCCATCTCGAAAGAGAAAGGTTAAGTACCGAGTGAACCTCTAGTGTATAAGATCACTCGGGGAATTAGAACCTCAGTCGTCGAGGACCGGGAGTGTCATTTAGATGCCGCGAATTGGTTACTAATCGACCCCCATAATTTAGGAGAATCTAATGCGTATCACCGTCGTAACTCTTGAGAGTGGCTAAGACTTGAGAGGGACGATGGTTGATAATTCTCGTACGTTAGATCGAGCGTAAGTCCTGAAGACTGATGCATGGATGAAAGACGACGACGTCGTCCATAAAACGAGTGGATTGCTCCGACATCGCGTGAATATCCTGTGCGTTGGCTGCAGGGCATGCAATTGTAAAAGGTATGAATTTGTAGTTAAGCATGATGTTGTGGCTCTATATAAGACGTTAAAATTGATGTTATGAAAAGCATGCTTATATGATTGAACTTGATATTATTGCACGATTGGGATTCTTTAAAATGTGTTATGTGGTGATCGTATGAGTTTATGTGAATTTGTGTTAAAAATCATGTTAGGGCTGACTCTCTTATATTGTATATGCGCGTACATGAGGTGTATATTGTGATTACATTTACATGTGACCCCTGATGCTATGTACATGAAATTATGTTTTTGTGCTGAAAATCGTATGAGAACTTCTCGTTATAGCCTCTGTTTGTGCTCAGATTATCGTGGCCTAAAAGCTGTTTTCTGGTTAAGAGTTCTTCATAACTTTTGTAGTACTTTGAGTTAGGTTTCTGTGAGTTTTAAAATTTCATGATTCGGAGTTGAATTGAATTTATTATGAATTTTTGAAGTTGTAACTGAGAGCAGTTTTTGAAATTTCGGGCAGAATTGTGAATCATGATGTTGGGCTGTTTTTGACAATGTTAATGTGACTATGTGAAAATATGATCAACATAAAACTTGTAGTACATGTTATAAGATTTCTCTGGAAGTTGAAATCTTGCAATTTGGTGTTTTAAATGATTTTATATGATTTTCTAAAGTTGGAGTTATGCCCAGAATTTTTAAAACAGTGGTTGTGTTTACGATTAAAATGTATGCTATGAAATGAGGCCCTTGACATGATTATTTACAAAGATGCCCTTCTTGGAGCTTGTAGCAAGTCAAGTGTAGTTTCTGTAAGATTTGAGTTTGAATGATTTGGAGTTTTGTGGCATGAGATATTCCTGATCTAGTGACCTGCTGTAATTTATAAATAGTTTCGTTGGCAGATTTCTTGACCTAAGTATTTTATGCTTAAACTCAGTTTTAAAGTTATTTTTGGATTAAGTGATCAACATGAAAGTTGTAGATAATTGAGTTAGCTATCTTAGATATTTGTAATTTCAGTAATATAATGTTTGTAGCTTCGGTTATTGTGCATACACTGAGAACCTGTCAAGTTGTATGTCTTCATTTATCCACTGCTCCTATGTTTTGTATGTTTGCAATATTATGTGCATTTTAATGATTTTATCTGCCTGACTATTCTTCATGAAAGTGATAGGGGCATGAGTTAGGGATATTTTCAAGTGGTTTCATTATGATACGATATCTAGACTGAAAGCTACATGCATTATAAATTTATCACACATGCTGGAAGTTGGTGCAAGTCCATGTTTAGGTTTCCAAATTGAGTTGTGAATTTCAAAATTAGCTTTTCGTCAATTTTCATGTATATGTGCCCTATGTGACTTAATCTGATTAGTATTATAATGTTAGTTGGAAACACTTGCGAGAGAAGCTTTACGCTAGACCTCGAAGTGTGAAAGCTATAGGCTGTGTATGTGGATTAGACTCGTTTAGGACTGCCGGCACGATTAGCTACCTGAGTAAAAGCTGTCGTGACGGCCGACACTGTTAGTCGGAAGAGTCAAACGAGTTAACCATTCTGTTGTTCGGCGTTGACCGCCGAGTTAGGATTGTTCCTGGCGGTGACGCCAATGCTCGTTCCCTTTTGGGAAAATTGTTGTTGTCAACCCAAACGTTTGTGATTTTGAGTCTTGGGAAGAAACCCTTCTTCCCATTTGAGTACCTAGGAATTGTGAAAGCCGGAAATTGAATTTCTGGAATGCACGTCGAACCGAGTGCCAAACCTGACTGGGTGTAGCCACGCGAAGTGGTGGCCGAGCCCGCACGCCCGTGCTGAGTGACGTGAGGCCAACTGTAGTGGCCGATCGTTGACTCGCACGAGGGCTGCCGCCGCCATCACCGAACGCAAAACTCCCCAGGTCAGTGTGTACGGCTAAACCTTGACCTTGTAGCTGGTATCTGAGTGGGTACACGCACGCGTCCCAGCGCCCCACATATGCAGCGCCAGCGTGTGTATCACCTCTCGGGTGACAGCATTAAACCCAGTCCGACCTTGTCCTTTTAGGGGTCTTTGAACCAGATTTTTGGTCAAAGTGTATGTTGATCTTTCGAGTCGTTGTGTGATTTCCCTAATCAACAATCCCCGGTGTATGAGGTTTGTCGATTAGTTTCCCACATGCGAGAGTTCCTCGAGATGGCAAGATAGTAGTTTCCGTAGAAATGTGGGGGCCGATCCTTGAGTCTCGACTGGAGACCGACTCCGTGAAGAGAAATCGTTATTGAGTATTGTCACACCCCGCCTCACTACTAGCTTTGAAAAATCAGAGTAAAATTTTCGTTTTTATTTTCGAAAGGTCGTGCGAGCTAGGTTTTTCGAAAATACTGACTTATTGCGGGATGTGACAGATAAAAACTTAAACTGAAACTTGGGCTTGCCCACAGACGTAACAAAAACATGCAACCAGACTGCCCGCTCGCGGGTTATGGGATTATACATGCATAGTCTGTACTGTCTCGCACTGTCTAGAAAACTTGCTGGCGGAAGCATCCGAAATACGAATACATAACATGCGTACATAATCTGAATAAAATACACATGATCATAAACTTAGGACATAAAAATGCTGGTAAAATATGTCCGACTCTCATGACCACGCTGCGCCACATCTGTGCTCATCCGGCACGCTCGACTCCACCTCCTGAAAAACACAATGGGGGCATGAGCAAACCACTATGCTCCGCAAAGACCAG